GAATTGTTTCTCTGTATGTAATGTGTCTTCTTCCCCTGCTGCCTTCAAGATTTTCTCTTTGTCTTTGGTTTTTAGCAATTTGAATATACTATGTATACAGATTTGCTGCTGTTGTTTTTCCTGCTTGTTTTTTTCTTAGCCTCTTTGGTCTGTGGTGGAGTTTGTCATTCATTTTGGAAATATTTAGATAAATAATGTCAGCCATTATTTATTTAAATATCTCTTCTGTTTTTTTCTGTCCCTCTTTTCCTTCTGGGATTACACTTACACAGATCTGGTGCTGTCTGATACTGCCCCGCCGACCTTGGGTATTCTGTTCTGCAACCCCTTTTTTCTCTTTCTGTTTCAGTCTGATTAATGTCTATTGACCTATCTTACTGTTCACAGCTTCTTTCCTCAGGTGTGTAAAGTCTACTGATCAGCCCCTCAAAGTCATTCTTTACTTCTATTATTGTGTATTTTTATTTCTAGCATTTCGATTTGACTCTTTCTTACTCTCTGCTGAAATTAACCATCAAATTCTGCATGGTATCTACTTTTTCTATTAGAGTCTTCAACTTGTTAATCAGTTGTTTTATTTTTTTTATCTTTATTAACTTTGTTACAATATTGCTTCTATTTTATGTTTTTTGGGTTTTTGGCCACAAGGCATGTGGGATCTTAGCTCCCTGACCAGGGATCAAACCCGCACCCCCTGCATGGGAATGCAAAGTCTTAACCACTGGACCACCAGGGAAGTCCCTAATCGGTTATTTTAAATCACATCCTATAGTTTCGATACCTGTGTCATATCTGTCTTGTTCTGTCACCTGTCTTTTCTCTTGTCAATGTGTTGGTTTTCTCCTGTCTTTTCTTATGCCAAAAATGTTTCGTGGAAAGCTAGCCATCTTGAGTAGGGCAGTAAAGACTAAGGCATATCGTTCTGATTCCTTCCCTTTTGCTGCACGGAGTTTGGATGAGCCTAGTCAGGATCTGATGCTGCCCTGGTTATCCAGCCTTCAAATCCTTCTAGTTGTATCTTGTGTTTATGGTGGGGCTGGTATTTCCCATTGTCTGCTATACCTTTGTGCTGAGCCTCACCTCGGTGAGGGTCTCTCTCCATATTCTTGCCCCTTTTCTAGCAGTAGATTGCTGTTACTCACAGCTTGTTAGCCTGGGTGCAGGAGGCAGAGCCCAGAAGGGTAATGTTTCTGTTGTTCTGATTAAGCCTCTATCTTTGGTGGGTGCTGTGTCCCTGGATCTGGGGGGAGGGAGTGACTGGAAAGGCCCAGTGCCCTAAGACCAACAGTGTGTGTTGCCCTGCTCTCTGCAGTTCCTTCCTTAGCAGATGGGAAAGGTCCGTGAAGGACACTTTCTCAGAATTCTGGCCAGTCTTTTTGTGAGCACCAGGTCAGGTCCCATGGAGAGGGGCCTGCAAGTTCTTGTGAATTTCCCTTATGTCTGTGGCCCCCAAGGTTCTGTATTCTTTCACTAGGCTACACCCTTCCTTTACCAACTTGTTAACAATTTTAGCTGAATTCTTCTTAGTGGGGTCCAGCTTAGTGGGGTCCAATTAAGCTCATGTCCATCCCTCCTCAAAGGCACCTGTCTTTCCATCTGTGGCTGGCCAGTTGCCTGTGACTTCAGCTCTCAGACGGGTCAAAGGAAAGTTGTGAATCTGCAGTTCGTCTAGCTCGTTGTTATTATACTGGTGGGACATTGCTCCTTCGGCTTTTTACATCCCAAACAGAAACCAGAGGTCTCCACTCTGTTTTGGAAAATAAGTAGTGAAAATTGGTTGCTGCTTCGGTTATCCTTTGTCCAGGCTAGTTTGAGATGATGCCTATATGTTTCCAGGTTAAAAGATAGAAGAGAGTTTTTTCAAAGGGGAAAAAAAAGGTTGCAGGTTTATTTTGAAAAGTATTTGCTGTTCCTGACATTTGCCACCAGAGGGCAAGTCACCGCATCACTCCCCCTCTTACTGGGTGAGGCCAGGTTTCCAACAGGGAAAAGTAAGTGTGTAAAGTGAGAGGCAGAGGCAACGGAAGTACCTGAGGCTCACAGAGGCCTGTTTTCGAGGCCGCTCTAGGCTGTACAGCTACAGGTGGGGCTCCTGGGCCCTGCAGCCCCAGCCCTGACCAGCGGGCCACAGCCGTGCCCTCTGCACAGAAGACACCTTCTGACATCCAGGCTGAGAGGCTGCCAGGAGCCTGCTGGATGGTCAGGCTCTAGCACCTTCAGGTGATTCCAACCTTCTGCTTTGTGTGTTGGGGCGGGGGAGCTGGGGGGGGGTCAGGGTGGGGAGTCCAGGAAGTCCATTCCAGCCCAGCTACTGAGTGTAGGAATTTCCAGGAGCCCTTTGGTAGGGAGGCTGAGGGGGGCTGTACAGCTGTACTACTTTAGCTGGTTTATCTGAAACAAATAAACCAAAATCACAGTGGCTTCATGCGATAGGAGTTTGGTTCTCCTGCAGATAAAGTCTAAAACAGGTGTTCCTGACGGGCAGGCAGGTCCCCTCCAAGTGGGGAGTCAGGAGCGCATTCCTGATATCTTGTAGGGCTGCCATCAGCAGAAGGCGTCACGGCGGGAAGGGGTGAATGGGAGAAGGCGCACCCACCCCACAACCACATCGCCCAGGGCTTCCCCCAGCACTTCTGCTCGCGTCCCATGGGTGCGAGTAAGCATGTGCTCTTTCCTAATGCTAGGGTGGGGGCCTGGGCAGGCGCCCTCAAGGCACCTCTCCCCTGGGAAGGTGGACAACCAGACCCCAAATCGTCCACGTTGCACCCACAGAAACTTCTCCTAACAGATTATTCTAGAACAATGTTTCCCAGATTTGCTTGATTTTAAGACCCACAGAGGATGTTTATTTAAAAGAGTCCTTGGGCCCGTTTCCTGGACACTGGTTTGGCCATCTGCATGGCCATCTGCATGGCGCCTGGAGTGGGTGCCTTTACCAAGCCCTCCAGGGAGCCATGCCGCCCTGTCTACAGAGGGAGCCTCTACCCCCTGCCCACACCCATGGGTGGGAGGCCGGGGCAACCCTCTCTCTGTTGTCGTGGTGACCCTTGGAACTATGGGACTAGCTCCTGGGTATGGCCCAAGGGAGGCTGGTCCTGAGCTATCCTGCAGCCCTCCCTGGGTGTGACTACCCTGCAGCTCAGCCTGGGGAGGGGCAGCCTGTGTGTCACAGCCACATCAAGGCAGGACTGAGCAGTCTGTGGCCTAGGCAGACCAAGTGGCCCCTGACCTCCCAAACCAGAGCACAGTGCCGCCCAGCCACATCGAGATGAAAAGGAAATTCTGGAGCAGAGCTGTGTTTCCCTTATGTGAGGGTTAGGGGCTGGGGTAGAGGAAGAGAATTATTTGTGTGTCTTTAGCGACTGGAGGGCAGCACTGAGTCAATGTTTCTGATTTCTTACCAGAAAATCAATTATTAGCGGTATTCAATCGTAGATTTTATGTATTTATTGTTTATTGATTTGTCTTTTCTGTTTTTGCCATGATTCCCTTGTCATGAATCTTGGGGAAGTGACACCAGGTTCATGACCAGCATGGGGTGGGGGAGGGGGGGAAGTAAGGAGAAGGTAAGGTAAACCCCAGGAAGGAGCAAGGCCCCGTGCATCCTGGAGTGGTGCCTGGGGGCTCAGTGTCCCCAAAGATGGGGCTCTCGGTGCCAAAGGAAAGCAGCGTGTGGGAGGCCCCATGTGTTCAATCAGGCACAGGCAACATCTGGCCGCCAGCACAGGAGCAGGAAAGAGGTGCTCCAGGGCCTGAATAGGCAAGGATAAGCCTGAAACAGGGAGGCCCCCATCCATGAGCTTTCAGCTCCTAGCCCACTTCCCCCTCTAGAAAGGGGCCCGGCCACAACTGGCTCCTAGGCCGGTGCGACAGCGGAGGCGAGACCTCCCTGTGGAGGCCGCATCAGGGTCTAAGTGTCACACCTGAAGGTGCACCAGGCCCCGCACCCACACGTGCCAGCCCCAGCGTTTGGGCAGGCTGGTTCCCCGGGCAGCACTCAGGGCAGCACATAGCAGCTGGCCTGGCGGAGCCCCAGTTTGTGCTACTCTGCTGGGGCTGATGCTCAGGTGAGGCCTGCAGGGGAGCTTAGTGCAGTCCCCACGCAAGGCTGCTGCCCAGAGGGCAGAAATGGGATGGCTCCTATTCTCTCCCCGCATTCTTTCTGCCCCTGACAAGAGTAAGCCCATCACTAGGGAGCTGATCCCACCAGGCTCAGAAGCTCCCAGCAGATCCCAGACAAACCTGTAAACAGCAGCCTCCAGCCCAGCCTTTCTGAGGAGGGCAGGGGTGTGTTTTGATGAATCCATCCCTGGGTGCAGTATGGAGCCCATCTCTCCTCACTGCCTTGTCCACCTACGTGTTCCCTCCTCAGAAGGCTCACTGGTCAGCCCTAGAAAAGCTTGCCAAAGCTCCCTCAGCCTGCTGTTCACCCTCAGGGCGCTATCACCACCTGACAGCCTGAGCTGTATGTCACCTGTTCATCCTGTCCCTAGTACAGGATGTGAGCTCCCTGTGGCAAGGGCCACAGGGTCCGTGGGTCCCGCAGCAACACAGAGCAGATGCGCAGGCAGCCCTCGCTCCCCTTCTCTGGGAGGAGATGGGCGGGCCTGGCCCCAAGCCCCCTCCCAGGTGACCTTGCTCACTGCGCTGTCTGGCCTGGGTCGTTCGTTAGAAACCACAGAAGCAGTAATAGCTGTTTTTTGTCTGCTGCCCAAGGACGGCAGCTGTCTTTTGACCCAGGTCAAGCCCAGGTCTCCAAATGCTCTTCAGCCTCCACAATAAAGAGGAAACTTTTTAAACCGTGGTGCATTTGAAACCTCCGGCCTTAACACCCCTCCTGGCATAGAGGTCCTGTGTACAACTCCATTCGGTTTCCTCAATCATGGAGACACCTGGTCTCGGTGGCCTTTTCCTGTCTTCCCTGGGGGTCACGGGGACTTCGAGCCTCCCGTCCCCACCCCCGAGCCACCTGGCACGGGTCTCTCTCTTTTGCGTTCCAGCCGTGATCCCCCTGACGGATTCAGAGCACAAGCTGTTGCCTCTGCACTTTGCGGTGGACCCCGGGAAGGACTGGGAGTGGGGGAAAGACGACAATGATAACGCCCGGCTGGCCCAGTAAGACCCTACCCTGTGTCCCCTCCCCTGGCGCCCTACGGGGCGGTCTGTCTCCGGGCTTTCCAGGGAGGGGCTGGACACGGCGCCCCTGCTCCTCGGGGCTGGCTGGCTGCACTGGCGGGGTGCGCGAGGGCGAGCTGGGGCGCATCTCACTCGGTGTTCCTCTCTCGATAGCCTGATCCTGTCGCTAGAAGCCAAGCTGAACCTTCTGCACAGCTACATGAATGTGACGTGGATCCGGATCCCCTCTGAGACCCGGGTGAGCCTGGCGCGCGCGCCGGGACGGACGGCAGGCGCACTCGGCCCGGGGCGGGCAGGCGAAGTGCATCCCAGCCTTGCCCGCGGCCCCGCCGCCCTGCCGACCCGGCTGGGCTGCAACGCGTGCCTCTGTGCGCCTGTGCCTGAGAGTCTGGACGTAGGCGCGCGCTCCGGCTAGGGGAGTTTTTGTCCCCTTACTTTCTCCAGAGCGACAGGAATAAACACGCCCACTCAGAAAACAAACCGTAGGCAACTCACAACACAAAACTCTCTCTTGCCGAGGTGGGAACACGATGTGCTGCCACGGAGCGGAATTAACTACAAAACTGTGTGTGGGTCCTTGGAAAAGGCAGGGAACGGAGGGCGCGATTCCTCGGCACCCCCTCCTTTTCTTCTTCTCTCCCCTCTTTTTCTCCCCTCCATGAGGGGAGGGCTGTGAGACAGGGGGCTGGCGCCCCACTTGGCCCCCTCCCCCAGGGAGGACCCATGCTGGCCCTGCCTCCAGATGCTAAGAGGAATTCGCTTTAAGTATCTGACTGATGTTTTTGTGATCTCAGTAGTAAAGTCCCAGGAAAAGGGATTTGTTTAAAAAACAAAAATTACAAATAATTGGCCCTCCCCAGACATAAATTTACTTACCCATAAAGTGGGGCTCGTAACGAATACTTTTTAAGTTTCATGAGGAAAGCAAGGAGGGCAGTGCCTGGCACACAGTACCCAGGACAAACTGGCACTGCTCAGAGTGCTTTGTACTCCAGCGTTTACATGTATCTAAACTTCACAGGGCTCCCTGAGGCAGGTCCCGATACCCCATGTTACTGATGGCACGAGTGACAGTGGATGGCAGTCTGGCTCCAGAGTCCAGCTGCCTGGAGTATGTCATGACGTGGCTTTGGGTGTTCTTTTCTCGCCCCCACGAGGGCTGTGAAGGCAGCGGCTTTAGATCGAGAATCAGGAGACTCTCAAGCTGGGACACAGCTCGGGTTTCGGGCAGTGAGGCTGGAAGCCACACCGCGGCGGCGGGGTCTGCCTCCACCGGCCGCGTGGGGCCAACTGATCTCTAACCTCCTCCCGTCCCTGCCCTCCCTCTCCCCTGCAGGCCCCTCTGGCGCAGCCGGAGTCCCCGACGGCCTCGGCGGGGGAGGACGTGCAGTCCCTGCCCGACTCGCTGGACTCGGACCGCGACTCGGTGTGCAGCAACTCCAACAGCAATAACGGCAAGAATGGCAAGGACAAGGAGAAGGAGAAGCAGCGCAAGGACAAGGACAAGACCCGCGCGGACTCTGTGGCCAACAAGCTGGGCAGCTTCAGCAAGACGCTGGGCATCAAGCTGAAGAAGAACATGGGCGGCCTGGGCGGCCTGGTGCACGGCAAGATGAGCCGCGCGAACTCCGCCAACGGCAAGCACAGCGACCCGCCCGAGCGCGGCAAGGAGAAGAAGGCCAAGGCGCGCAAGGGCAGCAAGGAGGAGTCGGGCGCCTCGGCCAGCACGTCGCCCTCGGAGAAGACCACGCCGTCGCCCACGGACAAGACGGCGGGCGCGTCGCCGGCCGACAAGGGCGGCGGGCCCCGCGGCGACGCCTGGAAGTACAGCACGGACGTGAAGCTGAGCCTCAACATCCTGCGCGCCGCCATGCAGGGCGAGCGCAAGTTCATATTCGCCGGCCTGCTGCTCACCAGCCACCGGCACCAGTTCCACGAAGAGATGATCGGCTATTACCTGACCAGCGCGCAGGAGCGCTTCAGCGCCGAGCAGGAGCAGCGGCGCCGCGATGCCGCCGCCGCCGCCGCCTCCACGGCCAAGCGGCCGCCGCGCAGGCCAGAGGCCGAGGGCGCGCCGGGCCCCGAGCGCGCCTCGCCGGGCCCGCCGGCCGGGCCTCCCACGCAGCTGG